TCTCATCTTGGAAGATATTGGGAAGTTATCAAATGTAAAAGAACATAAGAGAGGGCTATTTTTTAGGTTGGGTTTATATACAACCACACTTCAACCTTAAGTTTGATGACAACTTTCACAAAAAAGAAAGACTTCGTTAGGTATAGGGTGACAAGGTTTGCTACAACCTATCTCTCTTTGGAAAAGGTTCATAAGCAAAAGATTAACCTTAGGAAAATATTTACATCAGATAAGTGGATGAAAAGCTAAAGGCAAGAAGGCTATTGATGTTGTCTCGATGCCTTCCTTTTGGAATGAGGTTGTGTATGCCCTTAAAGTTATAGGTCATTTAATGGGTGTTCTTTGCCTAGTTGACAATGAAAAAAAGCTAGCAATAAGGTATATCTATGAAGCAATGGATAAGGCTAGGGAAGTTATTCAAAAGGCCTTTGATGGGAATGAAGATAAGTATAAGCATGTGTTTTCTATTATAAATAATAGATGGGAAAATCAGCTTTGTCATCCTTTACATGTTGTTAGTTACTTTTTGAACTTTTAATTCTTTTATAAGAACCTAAGTATTGCAACAAATAAAGAGGATGTGAGGGGGTTATATGATTTTATCGAAAATTTGATACCAAATCATAATGATCAGGACAAAATTATAAATTAATTGCACTTGTACAAGGAAGTTGGGGGGATGCTTGTTGATCCCATGGTAGTATGATCTAGGAGCAAAAGAGCACTTGGTAGGTAGAATTGCAAAAACTTGGGTATTGATTTTTTATAATTTGATTTACCTATTCTTGTTTTTTAAAAGAAATTGATCTATACTTTGTAAATTATTTATTGTAATAATGATGATTTGTTTGCCTTACTTTGCCTTAAAGCTCAATGGTGGAGTTCACTTAAAGTGTAAATTCCAGAGTTGATGAACTTGACTATTCGAATTTTGAGTCTAACTTGCAGTGTTGCTGGTTATAAGAGAAACTAGAGTATTTTTGAGCAAGTAAGCATGTAATAACTCATATTTGATTCTTTGTTTCTATGGAAGTCATTTAAAGTTAATACTTGATACTCTTAATATGAAGAAGTATTTTAATTTAACTTGTTACCTATTGTTTTTATCGTATAATTTAATTCCATAACCTATTTTAATTGGATAGATTCATAGCAAGAAGAGAAATAGACTTGAGCATAACAAAATGCAAGATCTTGTATTTGCTAAGTATAATCACGCTCTTAAAGCTTGATATAATAGCAAGGACGAGATTGTTCTAATCTCCCTAGACTATATTGATGATAGTAATGAATGGTTGATTGGAAAAAAGGGTGGTGACTAAGATGATTCTAAAAATGAACTTGTTTTTAATGGTGATGATTTTATTTGGGAAGAGATAATTAGAGCTTTTGTTGCTGCAGAGCCTAAAAAATAAAGTAGGAGAAATCGTGGTAGACAATTTGCACTAAAATCATCAACTTCTAAAGAAAAAGCAGTTGTACAAGAAGTTGAAAAAAAAAAGGTTGATATAAAGGAATTAGAGGAAGAGATTGAGGATTATTCCTTAAGTGATGGGGATGACAGTAGTGATGATGATGAGATGGATGTAGCTAATGAGAATGTCATAGTTGCATATGATTTATTTTAGATTTTAGAATGATATGATATTTTACTTGTTTCTACAATGCTTTAATTTATTAACTGTTATATATGCATGCACTGCTTATTTTATGTTCTAATATTTGTTATTATGAACTTCAAAATTTGTTTTATTAATATATGACGTTATTGGGTGCATTTTGAAAAGAGTGCATTTTGAAAAGGCTTAAGCTATTACGTAATCATATTTTTGCGTTTCTCACTTCACTTTGTTGATGCGCCCACTTCGCTTTCACTTCATCACTTAAGCCTTTTGAAAGGCTGGCGCTTTAGGCCGCTTTATGCTTTTAAGAACAATGTTTCAACGTAAACTTCTAAAACACTCATGTAGACTACATTTGAACGTATTTTTAAAGTGATATCTTACGATATATAAACCATTATGCCCATTTTGTAGTGAATCAAACCACTATACCGTAGAAAATTAATGATGTATGTCACTCTCACTTCTATCACTCCCCACCAAATATAGCCCTTTTGCCATCCATCATCAATGATCAAACGTTTTAGTTAGCAATCCTCTTTTAATGACTTTAAGTTTTGGATCTTCATTTCCTTTAAAAAAAAAAAAAAAAAAAGAAAGGCTTAGTACTTATGATTTTTTTTATATATAGAAAAATATAATCTTATGAAAAGATAAAACTAGTCTAGTTCAAGCTATGCCTTTGTCATATAGGCTGAATAGAAAGGTAAAAACACTAGAAAGGTCCTATAACACTAATATAAAGAAATAATACTCAAGACATGTATGAATAATTAAGTGTAGAGAACCTCGAAGTATATTAGTAGTTTTGCCATAGATACACTCAGGTTATCATTTTTATATAAAAAAATTTTAAATAACCATAAGGTCTATAATAATTTTTTTTTTGTGAGATCAACAATATGAAACAAATTATAGTCTATTTTCTTTTTAGTCCTAAGAGAAAATAAGAGCAAGCAAGAATATCAATAACTAGAGTGAGAAAGAAAATTGAAATTCTATTATGACCCGTTTTGTATCTGCACCTCAATGATTTCTTGAGTTTTAGTTGGTTTACCATCATCTCATGAAACTATTCTACTACAATGAATTGTAAGTATATGAAGCATTCTGTAAAGAGCATTAGATTGAAATTTCCCTTAAGCTTTTGCTTCCCTTTTTTTTTTCCCTATTCTGTAGTTAATTTATAGTTTCTAAGTCAAATTGTTAGTACTCAAAGCTATAAAGTGCATTAAAATTATAAGTACATTAAAATTGTAAGTGGAACCTTAAAATCTATTATAGGAGTGGAGGTACGAGATCGACCCTTTTGCTTTTTATTTTAATTGACTGCTAGTCTTTTCAATTGAGATGATGGAATATGTGAAATATCTTTTAAGTTTTTTCATTTTGGGTGATAAAGATTTCAATTAATTGATTCCAATTTATTGATTTGTTTTCTTTGTTTTGAGAGCACTAGGTAGGTTGCAATTAATTTTTTTCTTTTTTGTAGTTTTGAGTCAAGAAATTGAATGAAGTAGTAGTTGTTGTTGTTGTTCTTGTTATGTCCATCAGATGTTTGATAAAATACTTGCGTGAGATTGTGTTGTCTTATGTTCTTATAAGACAATTTTATTCTAAAATTGTAATCTTTTTTTTTTTTTTTTAGTTACTCTAGAAGCTATACTAAGACTATTTTTGCTTTGAGAACCTTTATAATACATGTTAGAGTGTGTTTTTTTATTGGTAAAAGAAATTAATCATCATATTTTGAAATTAATTTATTTTTTGTTTGTTAGAGTATGCTTTTGTTTTGGTGGCTAAAAGTGTTTTTTCAATGTTGTGTTCCTCCTTTAAATAGAACTTTAAATCTTGTCACCCAACTCCCTTGGAGAAAATCTTTAGTTTTACCCCTGTTGTTTAGTGTTGTCTATTCTTCATTTGAGCTATTATATTAGGACAATTTATGTTGAAGTTCAAGTTTGTCACTTTGGGTGATAAAGATTTCAATTAATTGATTTGTTTTCTTTGTTTTGACAGTACTAGGTAGGTTGTAATTTATTTATTTATTTATTTTTGTAGTTTTGAGTCGAGGAATTGAATATAGTAGTAATTGTTGTCGTTCTCGTTATGTCCATCAAATGTTTGATAAAATGCTTGCGTGAGATTGTGTTGTTTTATGTTCTTATAAGACAATTTTATTCTAAAACTGTAATCTATTTTTTAAGTTACTTTAGAAACTATACTAAGACTATTTTTGCTTTGAGAACCTTTATAATACATGTTGTTAGAGTGTGCTTATTTATTGGTAAAAGAAATTAATCATCATATTTTGAAATTAATCTATTTTTGTTTGTTAGAGTATGTTTTTGTTTTGGTGGCTAAAAGTGTTTTTTCAATGTTGTGTTCCTCCTTTAAATAGAACTTTTAATCTTGCCACTCAACTCCCTTGGAGAAACTCTTTAGTTTTACCCCTATTGTTTAGTGTCATTTATTTTTCATTTGACCTATTATATTAGGACAATTTATATTGAAGTTCTTTGACCCATGGTATTACTTGTCATTTATTCATAATATTAATATTTTCTTGGATTTTGTAAGTTAGTTTAGTTTTGTGCTTATATTTTTATTCTAAGTGTGATTGTGTTATCATTTATTAGTCTTTAGTTGTTTAGAAAATGAGTCAATTTTATTTACTTATAGGTTGTTTTTAATTTGATTTCTTTAAGAAAAAATGATTGTTGTACCCTATGATTCAACACACTCCCCAACATCCACTAGGTCAACAAACTGCCAACACCCACCAATTTAATTATTAAATTCTACAGTTGAAATTTTTCTTACTTTGAATTCAATTTGAAAATAATTTTTCAATAAATGTATTGTAAAGTGTGTTGAACCAAATAGTCTACCAATTATTACCCTTTTTTCAATCATCAATATTACTTAAAAGAAAGCAGTTTTTTTGTTTTGTTATTATATTAGTGGGCCTCTGTAACTTGCAATTTATCACTATTATTTTTATGATTGGAGCTTCATAAATTGAAATATTATCTCTTTCTAGTTATAATTTTTAAAATTTTTTATTTTGTTATAAAAGGTTTCAAAGAAATTCTTTACCTTAAATTATCAACTCTTTAAGTCTTTGTCACGCGTCAAAACTAGGAGTGAAACAAACACCGTGCACTCGTGAGTGAGTCCCACAAATGAACAAGGCTCGGAACTTACTGTGTCTATAATCACTAATTTACATAACTTAAATCAGAAAACTCGGTTAATAATTAGCTTTTAGTTACCAAAAATTTGCTAATCCGGATGTATAAAAGTTTATAAAACAGTCATGGCTATAACCAAGGAAACTCAGTATACAAAAAATGATTTATCAATTCACATCTATGTCAAACATGTGTGGCTAACGGCCGGAGTCCAAAAGGGATCTAAGTCCAAAATACTGACTAGCCGTCTAGCTCGTCATTGCCCCTGGTTAACCGTGTCTCGGGTCTCGCTACTTGAAATGGTAGACAAGGAAAAACAATGAGATAAAATATCTCAGTAAGTAAAAATATGGGTAGCCCGTGAGTAAAGTTTAAGCATGCATGATAAACAGTTTAACGTAACAAAACGTTCAATGATAAACAGTTAATGCAAAATAAGCTTCAGTAGTAGTCTTATCTATAAGTCATGGCCAGTGTTTAACTCCCATTGGTAGGCGTCAGTAATAACCAATGTATTATCCCATTGGCAGGATTTCAGTAATAACTAATGTATTATCCCGTTAGCAGGATTTCAGTATGAACCGACCCTATCGGTAAACATGTCGACATGTGCTAGCGTTTATAAACCTCCCACTAGCTGGCATAGTAAAACATGACTATATTGGAGACAAAACCATGTAGGATTTATAGGAACAATCAGTAATTCACAATCAATCTCAAATTCCAAGAATAAACCAAAAAAATTCTATATGGGCATGGATTTAACAGAAAAATCAGAATTTACAAAATTCTCAAATCATCAGGGTAGTTAAGTAAATTCCAAGTAGGCATGCTCTTACTCAATGAAAATGAAAATAATTCCATTTCAAACCAATCATGCTCGATGCTAATAAAATCAATTTAACTCTTGCCACCATCTCAAAAACAATTTAAAATATGCTTTTACTTTGAAATCGAAGGGCGTTACCATAATTTACTTATCTTAGTCACATAACACAGAAAATTCACTCCAAGTGCTAGGATGACAGAACAATCAAGAACCTAACCAACATATTCCAAAATTAATAACCATATAACCAGACATCTCAATTTCATTTTCAGTATAAACTAAACATTTAAACCCTCATATTGTTGGCCATTAGTGTGTGAACATTAATCTATGAACAGTAATCTATGAACAGTAATTATGCAATGAACAGTAACTGCAACTTCTAGAAATTGGCAAAACAATAGCTAATTTCACGAGATTTTTCCCCAAAACCTCACAGCAGCTAATTAACACTCAATCACATAAATTCTACTTGAATTAATGCTTAAATTTTGTTCTAGTTCTACCGGAATTCATCCCCCTAATTCAACAAAAATCCCAACAGCATAGGGGCGACAATTCATGGATACTTTTAGCAACTAATGGGTAATTTGGACTTAAATGGAGCTATCACATACCAAAATTTAGCAAGCAGAAACTGAAGCTGAGGGGTTGGGGAGGCCGACGGGAAGTGTAGGAGGAATTTTTGGGATCTATCAAAAATTTGTTGTACCTATGATTTTGATGATTACAAAACACATTTGAGTGACTAATTGGTTTATTTAAGTGTGTAGTTAAGTTGCTAAAAGATTGCAAGTAAACTTGGATTGCACTAAAAATAGACCAAAAGGATTCAAAATGTGCAGAGAGCTGGCTTTTAAAAGCTGCAGCCGGCTCTGGTGAAATGGAAGTGCAGAAAGCCGGCTCTGGAAGTTGCAGCCGGCTCTATGGGCAAAAATTTGAAGACCGTTGCTTGGCGCGCGCGGAGAAAAGACGCAAAGCCAGCTCCAACTTTATAGCCAGCTCCAACTTTATAGCCGGCTGTGAAGGTGCATTTACTGCACAACGGTCAACTCTTTTGAATGTATTTACAATCGGAATTCCAAAGCCGACTTAAAGTCTTGCAGCCAGCTCTCGAGGAAAACAAAATGGCCTGCAAACCCGGATAGCCGACTGTGAAAGTGTAAGTCGGCTGTGCAGAGCCGGCTCTAGAAAGTTAAGCCGGCTCTCCTAACAGTTCTGCAACTCGAGCCCTGTGTCCTGCAAAGCATTTAATGAGCCCCGACGACTAGAAACGGTTATTTTCGAGCAAGGGGCTATAAATATGGATTTGAAGAAAGTTGGAGAACATCATATTGAATATCTTTACCCACCAACTTGTGCTTTAACTAGAGATTTTGATCTTTGAGAGATCTTTGTTTGTAATTCTCTTCTTATGCTATTAGTGAGTGATCTCGGAGGTGTATTGATTCCTTCAAGAGTGATCTGTAGAGAGGATCTTTGGGGTTTACATTGTAAAGGGGTGAGGTTTGAGAGAAATACTCATCTTGTTGTAAAAGGATTGAGTGGCTTCTTTAAGCCACCCTTGTCTTTCTTAGTAAAGAGTGTGGAGAAAATCCTTGGTGAGTGAAGCCAAGGTAGAGGACTAGGCTCCAAGTGGTTGGACCGAACCTCTATAAAATCATTGTGCAAGCTCTTCTTCTCCACTCTCTCTTTAATTTTTGTTTGATGGTTGCATAGAGGTGAAAATTCTCCAACTCCAATTCACCCCCCTCTTAGAGTGCATTGAGTCAACAATTGGTATTAGAGCAAGAGCTCCAATTTGAAGGTTTAACCACTTAGGAGTTGATCAAGGATGGCTCAATTTCAAGCTTTTCAACCACTTGAAGGTTTGTCAACCACTTGAAGGTTTGTCAACCACTTGAAGGTTTGTCTACCACTGAGCCTCCTTTCTTTGATGGGACTAACTATAATTATTGGAAGAATAGGATGAAGGTCTTCATGCTTGCAAATGTGCCCAAGGCATGGATTGTGACTATAAAAGGTCCATATGTACCTATGAAAGTTGTTGGAGAAAAGAGAGGTGCCAAAGGAAGAAGTTGAATGGAATGATGAAGACTTGGGGAAGATCATGATCAACAACAAAGCAATCAACATGCTTCAATGTGCTCTCAATCCAACGGAATTCCATAGAGTATCCGGATGTGATACGGCCAAGGAGATGTGGGACATGTTGGAGGTAACACATGAAGGAACAAACCAAGTGAAGGAGTCAAAAATCAATAGACTCATTTACATGTATGAGCTTTTCAAAATGAAACCGGAAGAGAGCATTCAAGATATGTATACAAGATTGAATGATATAGACACCAATCTCAAGGCTTTTGGTAAAGTCTATCCTTCTCAAGAAGTGGTGAGGAAAGTTCTTAGAAGCTTGCCTAAGAATTGGGAAGCCAAGAAAACTGCAATTGAAGAGTCTAAGGATCTCAACACTCTGAAGCTTGAAGATCTCATTGGAAAATTGATGACATATGAGATAGAAGTTCAAGTTGATTGTGGAGTTGAAGTAGTTGAGAAGAAAAAGAAGGATGTTGCATTCAAGGTTGGCAACCAAAAGGAAAAGAGTGAAGATGATGCTAGTGATGGTGAAAACATCTCCACCTTGATCTTTAGAGAAGTGAGGAGATTCATGAAGAAGAACATCAAGAGCAAGCTTGCAAAAAGAAATGAAGGAGAGTCTACCAAAAGGAGTGTGAAATGCTATGAGTGCAACAAGATGAAGCACTATAGAAATGAATGTCCCAATTTGAAGAAAGGCAAGAAGAGCATGAAGAAGAAAGCTTTTACTATCACTTGGAGTGATGATGAAACTAGCTCAACGGAAAGTGAAAGCTCCTTAGAGAATGGTGTTGCAAATCTTTACTTCATAGCTCAAGAAGATAGCTACAATAATGAAGAGGTAAAAGCACACGATTTACTAATGTATAATCCTGCTAGTAGGATAACAGAAACGAATCGGTTCTATCAGTAACAAGTCGACATGTGCTAGCGTTTATAAACCTCCCACTAACGGGCACACGAATAACATGATCATATCGGAGACAAAACAGGCAGAAGTCAATAGGAAAATCATAATTTACCAATCACTCTCAGATCATCAAGACAATCAATTAAATTTCAAGTAAACATGCTCAATTTAATGAAAAGCATAAAAATTTCACTTCAAATCAATCATGCTTGTGTAAAACAGGTTTAGTCTTGCCACCATTTCAAAACCATCAAAATTTGCTTTTAAAAGCTTTACCTTAAATCCAAGGCATCACCATAAGTTACTTACCTCACTTCGCATAAAACAGGAAACTCGACCCCAGAGCTCTAAGGCACAACAGCACCTAATATTCCAAATAAATATGTTTAGACCTCACTAGAATATTAACACAACATCACAATTTATGTCAATCTCTCATGACCGAACACCTCTAATTTTATTCTCATATAAAACTAAGCATTTCATCCTCTTTGTTGTTGCCGGCAAAACCCCAAAAATGCAATATTCATTTATTTATTTATTCTTTTCTTCTTTCCGAATTTTAGCATTAATCCAGATTGGGTATACATATATATATACCAATTAAATACACACACATTTACGTATATTTATAGCTTCCCAAACTCACGGGCAAACAATGGGGAGCATGGCTTTTATTCAATTTTCCATCTTTGGCAAAACTGCCACTAACACACGGGATTTTCTACTCCAAATACTTAAAACTCAATGTATGAACAGCATGCGTGAACAGTGCTCGTGAACAGTAACTGATATTTCCATAATTCAATTACAGCAAACTAAAATACCAGAAAAAAAAAAAAGGATATTTCACCAGATTTTCAGAGCAGAACAGACTGAAAAAGAAAGGAAAAACAGTAGCAAAATGTAGAAAAACGCAGCAGCAATTTGCAGAATTTTCTGCGTGAACAGTAGCTGCGCGCGTGAACAGTAAAATTTTGGCAAAACAGCAGGATTTTTCACACAGAACAGCAGCTAATTTCAAGCCAAAAATAGGTTTATTTCTACATGAATTAAGCTAAAAAAACACGTTTAAAATGCTGCCAAATTCTTCCATATTTCGGCAGAAATTTGAACAATACAGGGGCAGCAATTACATGGATAATTTCAGCAATTAAATGGGTGAAATTGAACTCAAAGGAAGCTGTCCATCATACCAGAAAATTCCAGCAAGCTGAAACCGGAGCTGGCGATGTGGAGGGCTGGCAGGAATTGGAGAGAACACACACAAAATTGAAGGAAAAAAAAGGAAATTAGAGTAACCCAACTTGAATCAAGGCTAAAGAGAGGGATTCATGGCTGAATCTTACTAGAGAAATGCCCAGAAATTCGTACCTAGCAGCACCGACGGACAGGGGAGGAAGAGCAGAGCAGATCTGGAAATTCCTACTTCAAAGGGAGGGTTCTAGGTCCTAAAATCAGTTCTTTAACAAGAAAAGGAAGGGAAAAATCAAGCTTGTTACCAATTTTCTCAAGAAATAGAAGTCGGTGGCTTGGGGGGAGCTTGTCGGGCTGCACGAAGAAGAAGAGCAGAGCAGAAACGTGTATGGCTAGGAAGAAAAGGAATAAAAATATCAGCTAATCCTTATCTTAATTTCCTTTCTTTTTAGTTCCTGAGCTTTAAAAATTTTTGTTATTACATTCATTAATGATATTTCTTCACAATTAGGTCCCTAACTCACATTTTAATGCTCTAGAAATTTTGGGGTATTACAATTTTTAAGACAAAATAATTTATAAATATAATATAATAGAATTTTAATATGATAATAACCATTATAATTTTTAAAACTTTTTAAAAAGGGTTAATTATATTTATTTAAAATTTATAAATTAAGTATTGTATACTATATACGATTATTTGTAAAGAAAGCAAAAAAATTAAATGAATCATTTAAAATATATTTTACAAAAAAAAGTTGTTTTACTGAAGCTAGTAAAATAGAAAGAAGCAAAATAATTAGAAAATAATCATATGTTGTCTTCCATTGTAAGTTTCTTTATACAAATGACTGGTGTACATTTATATTTGCTTTCTAGTAATTTAGATAGCAAGTTTTGAAAAGTTATAACTCTTAATTTTTTTAGTTATAGTTTGAACAATTTAAGTGAAAAAAAATGGAGATATTTTCAAATTTTATTAATGGGATGAGAACAAAATATTTAACATGATCTAAGTAAAGTATTTTGTTTGGTTAAAAGATAGGCTTTCAAGGCGCATTATTTTTCTTTTGTGACTAATGTCAATTCTCAATTTATGGTTATTTTTATTTGTTTAAAAAATAACTTATGTTAGGTGATGTAATATTTATTATGGATCAAAGGGATAATGTACACCAAATAATAACAAAATTTTTAAATAAAATAGAGATAAATATAATAATTAAGATTTGAAAATATATTTTTTTTATAATTATCAATTCAAATTTAAAACGTAATGAGTTATATGAAAAAAGTTGAACTCATGGATCAACCCATTATCCATGAGAATCGAGTTAGGGTTAACACCTTTCTCTCACAACTCGTTTATGATGCAATCCATAAAACCAATGACCCCAGTAAACCCAGACTCAACCCAACCCGCCTGTTTTCTGTTTGGGAGAAGAGGTCAATATCGTACCGACATGCGTACCATTTTGTTACTGGAACGATATGTACTGGATACAACAATTTTTCGCGTACCGTTTCGGATTTATCGTTATAAATATCTTTTTATAAGAGAAACTAATGTAATTAAGGACAAGATTTGAAAAAACCTTTTAAGTTAATAACAATCTTTTTTTTTTTCAACCATTAACCTAAACCCATTATAACCCAAGCAAAAATACTTTAGATGGTTTAAGTTAAAGACATTAAGATAATGACAATCATTAAATAGATGATAGCAAATCACATTCAATTTATAAAAGTTAATAAGATTGAATGATGAAACAGATACCTAATGGTTCATCACAAGAGTTCTTCGATTGTTTCTGTCAAGTGACAATTATAAACAAACAACAAAATTAATGATCTTGTACATAATTATAAAGATTCTCATCTGGAGGAATTCCATAACCTGTAACTCCACCAACTCCAGTCCAAAGTTGTTCACTTTCATTTTCAAGAGGAACTTGTGGGACATCTTCCTCATCATAAACAATACTATCAGTATCATCAAGGATTTGATTTGGCAAAGACTCATCAATTGCGCCCAATCTACATCATAATCATCTTTATTAAGAAGAGTTGGCTCCTCAGCCACCCAATAAGCTAATATGTCAATATTGTCAAGACTAAGAGGATCCATTGCTTCTTTGCCCCTATAAATAATTCTATAAACACACAAAAATCACAACTAACATTTGTTTGATTTCTATATAAAACATAAATGTGCATAAAGTATCAGAGCAACCCTGCTAATTAAATCATGAAGCTGTAGAGAAATAGAAATGGATCTAAAAATGACAAAACTACTTAAAGAAATGCGCATTCACCAGTAGCACTCAACAGTCGGCAATCGGCATTCAACGAAAAAAATTAAAGGCACGGCATTAGTTATTTAGTTCCCAACATAGCCAGAATTTGATTTGAAACAAGATTTTGGTAAATGCAATCAATTGTATGAAATGAGATCCAAATCTCCAATCCATATCTAGAATAGCTAACATTGTCTGCTGGAAATGCTTAAATACCAAGAGGTCCAAGACACCTACATTTTTATTTTATACTAGGACTGAGGAGTTCGACTTCGACATGGACATGATTTGAATAATTTGTTTTTTTATACATGGGTAGGGACTATGCAGCCAGCAGCAATATGCATACCAACAGAAAGAGTAACCTCGGAATGAAAATGCAAAGATACCTGAGATGGAGCTGGGCTGCTGGAGAGTGGAGGAAGAGAGAGTAGTGGCTGGATCTGGACCGTCGGCAGCGGCTGGAGTGGCTGGACCACCTGCGAGGAGTGGAGCTCAAGCCTCAACGACCGTTGGATGCTGGAGAACAGAGGAGAGGCGCGATCTGAAAGTGCAGGGTTTAATGAAGAAGCTTAAAGGAGATAGAGCAACGGCTGGAGGCTGGAGCTGGAGAACAGAGGAGAGATGACGGCTGCTGGAGAAAATAGGAGAGGCACGATTGAAATTGCAGGGTTAAGTGAAGAAGAAGCCACCCCCAGCCAAAACGACGTCCCAGCCAAAACGACGTCGTTTTGGCTGGGGATTCTCTTTTTTTTTTTTTCCTTGCATAATGTACCGGTCAAAATCCAGTGTACCGGTCGTAAAATTTTGGTCGATACACTAAAATTTGACCGATACATCCAAAATTTAACCAAAACAGAATTTTAACTTATTCTGTTTCGATTAATCTCCCAAACTGATAAGGACCGGCTGGTACGGTACAAACTACATTGACTGTCATTCCTGCTGTACCCCTGGCCCTGGAATATAGCCGTTGGAAAAATATTTCTTACGCTTGGGATGTAGCCGTTGGAAAGACACTTATCTCTTCGTTATCAGTCAGCGTCTCAAGCCTTTCAAATCCCATTCCTAAAAGAAAATCTAGGCGCAGAGAAAGCTCCAAATCGGGGAAAGGAGAAGAAGGTTGAGAGAACTGGGTAGGCAAACAACAATTTTTCCCCTGTCGCAGCAAGCTTCTTTTCCTCAATGAGGCGGTCTGGTGGGGGTGGTGTCGGATTCTGTTCCTTGGTCGAATCCTTTCCTTTTGATTTATTGTGAGTTCTCTCCCATCCTCTATGAGATTTTATAACTAAAATTTTCAGATTTATTTCCGATAATTCTGAGTTGTGAGTGAACCGACTATTTTAGGTTTTGTCATCCTTGTTTCTGTCGTGGATCTAGAGAAGGCATAGCTTGGTTCCTGCTTTGATTTTGGTAAGTTTGTTGGTGATTTTCTTCCTCTTCTATTCCTATTCAAATTCAAGGTTTTTCCATTTGAATCTACCGAGTTTAAGCCCCTGTTTTAGGCTTGAATTCGCAGAGCTTTTTGACATCTGAGAGGTTGGTTTTCTAGTGAAAAGGGGAGGCTTTGGGTACCTAAAATTGTGGTTTTAATTTTTGTACAAACCAGATTTGTTTATGTGATTCTAAGCTGCTGTTGAAGCTCGGTTATATTCCCATTCGGCACATCTTTTTGGATGTTTCTTCCTAGCCGTCATAGGGTGAGTTACTGCACTGTTTTTGCTCTTTATTGCCAGCTTTTTAACCCAGAATTTTGCTGTTGCTTGCTGCTGTTTTGGGACTTTATTTCTTATAATTTTACAAGTCTTGTTCTGTGGTAGCTCACTCTAAGTTTGTTAATGCAGTTGCTTATGTGATTAATATAAAAGGGATATGTGGCTAAATGGAAGAGTAATTAGATTTAAATTGGATAATGAATGAATAAACATGTTTTTGGGATCCACGGTTTGTTTTGTTTTTCTGGTGTTGGGAATGTATCTTTGGAGTAGTCCGTGGTTGTAATTTTCCATTGTGACGAGGTTTGAATATATTTACACAGGGATTTTGCTGGTAGGATGCATGTGCCCATGGGATTTCTATTCAGTAATTATATAAATTGGTTTAAAGAGATTTCAGAGGTGAAGTTAATGTGGATAATTGGATCTAAATGAACTTTATAGAAAAGGAAGGAGTAGTGGGCTGGGAATTTACATATGATATAAGTTTATCTAGATATTTTATGGTTGACCAAGTTGAATACTTAAGGGAATGAATAAGTAGTTTGAGGGGACAATAAAGGTTGTTGCTGGAGGATGCATGAATTGGTAATCTTAGTGGAAATAAATATTAGATGCTGGATTTACTTGATTTCTTACTTGAGGATGAAGTTTTAAGATAGCTTGAATTAATTATTTAAGACATATTTGTTTTTTTTTTTTTGAAGTACTTCCACGTACTTAAGTAGGGGTTTTTACTTTCTTGGACTTGAGGTAAGAAAATATGGTTCTTGGCTTTTTATTTTAGCAAGAAAAATGAGTTTTCTACGAAGTTACTGGCTTACCCCTTTTAAGCAACTTAATGTAAAATGTGTTTTCATTACCATTTTGCTTTACTATCATTTGTACTATGATTTAAATATGAAATCAGAGTTTAAAACTCTCGTTTTGAGGAAAGAAACTGAATGGTTGGAAAATGATATTTTTGGCGGGTGCCTTATTCTATTAAAATCATGTTTATGTATGCTTGATGGTTTTGTTTTGATACAAAATGCTCGATGAACTTCTGAATATAATGCTCCTATTTTTAAGTTATAAATATTAAATCTGTTTTGTCTGCCATGGTAGCTTGTAATCTGATTTGTGCCAGCCAGTGGGATTAGCAGTACTGGTCATGTCTACTTGACATGCTCTGATTTGGGCCAACCAGGGGTTTAATGGCACTGACCATGTTGACGTGTCTGTTATGATATGTTAACTAGCCTTTGATTTTTGTTTGTAAGGACTTTATGGGTGCTCTGATATATATGTCTTTTGTGCACTCTTCATGGGTGTCTTAATCATGTTACAATTTACTGCTGTCATAGTAGGTCCTTATGGATTACTATGAGATTCTAATTCGTTTTAGACTTTGCGTCCCTACCACAAGCATGTTTTAGAATAACATGGTTTTACTTACATAGAAATTTATTTTGATTCTTTGTATCTAACGAGCATGCATATTATAGTCATGGAGTGTATTTTCTTACTGAGTTGTGCTCTCGCTTGCAAACCAACATTTTCAAGTACTAATCAGAGATAGGACAATTTGGATTTGTATATGATTTAAGTTTAATTATGTTGAGTTTGACTATGGAATAAGAGGATGTTTAAGTTTAGTATGGATATATGAGATATATTTTGAAGAGTAGTTAATAGCTTGGAGACTCTTGTGGTTTGAGGAGTTGAAGGTTTTAAGTTATTTAGTGGCATGTGAATCAGTTGAAAGGTTGAATTTGGATCATGACTAATATTTAGAGCTTAATATGCATTATGGAAACTAAGTTTATTGATATAATTTTATCTGGACTTTAATGGATATCAAGTTGAAGAACATTGAATTATATTCTATTTTGGAGATATAGGCAATATGATTATTTTGATAAGGTTGTATGCTCTTGGTTTTGGGGTGTGACGTGTGGTCCTGCCAAGTTATAATTTATTTTTCGATTATTGTTTGGAGTTTCTTTTTTTTAATTAGCTTAAGCAGAAAGGGGAATTGGATACTAGATTTTGGAACTCCCAGGGGTGGGAATCCTTATCTCTCTAATAGCTTGTCCTTTTTTCTACATTTTTTCTTTGGCATCCCCCATCCACGGTTTTGTTTTTCATTTCCTTAAAATCTTTGTTAATCACCACTCTAATTTTAGGGGACTATTTTTCCTAATTTTCAGTTGGATTAAGGAGAATGAGGGTCCCATTTATTGAAAGTATGTGAAAGAGGAGATTTGTGATGATTAGTTAATTTTTTTTTTTTTTGGCCTTTTCCTGTTGGTATTTCCTTTTCTTAATATATTGCTTTTCTTGATTTTTTGCATGAATTTCTGCTAGTGAATGACCTGTGATTAATATTAACCATCTGTAGTTAGTGGGTCTTATGTTTTATTGAGCCTAAATAACAATGCATTACCATGTGTGATGATTTTTCTTTCTTTAAACCATCCGTGATTAATAGCTTTAAGTATTGTTGTATTGTTTGGGTTTATAATTTCAAAGCATTAATCTAAAATTTTGAAAGAATTGATGATAAACTTTCATTTCAAAGCTTTAAGTATTGGTTGTAATATTTAGGGTTATATTGTTAACGGATCCTTTCATAAATTTCTAGCTTTTTAATGATTTCTCACTTATTTTGTGCCTTTCTAGTTAACGGATCCTCTTGGTAGCCCACTTTAAGTTTGTTAATGCAACTGCTTATGTGATTAATATGAAAGGGACAGGCGGCTAAACGGAAGAGGAATTAAATTTAAATTGGAATTGGATAATAAATGTATAAACATGTTTTTGGGATCCACAATTTTTTGTGTTTTTTGGTTTTGGGGATGTAGTTTTGGAGCAGTCCATGGTTGTAATTTTCCATTGTGATGAGGTTTGAATATATTTACACATAGGGATTTTTGCTAGTAGGATGCATTTGACCATGGGATTACAATTCAATAATTATAGAAATTAGTTTAAAGAGATTTTAGAGGTGATGCTAATGTGGATAAATTGAATTTGAATTAACTTTATAGAAAAGGAAGGAGTAGGAGGCTGGAAATTTAAATATGATATAAGTTTATCTAGATATTTTATGGTAGACCGAGTTGTGCTAAAGGGGATGAATAAGTAGTTTGAGGGAACAATGAACGTGTAACTGCTGGAGGATGCATGAATTGGTAATATTATTGGTAATAAATAGTAGATGCTGGATTTACTTGATTTCTTACTTGAGATGAATTTTTAAGATGACTTGCATTAATTATTTAAGACATGTTTGTTTTCTTTTGAAATACTTCGACATACTTAAGTAGGGGTTTTTCCTTTCTTGGACTTGAGGTAAGGAAATATGATTCATGGCTTTCTATTTTAGCAAAAAAAAAAAAAAGAGTTCTCCTTTTTAAGCAACTTAATGTAAAATGCGTTTTCATTGCCATTTTGCTTTACTATCATTTGTATTATGATTTAAATATTAAATCAGAGTTTAAAAATCTTGCTTCGAGGAAAGAAAGTAAATGGTTGGAAAATGATGATTTTGCCTGCACCTTGTTCTATTAAAATCATGTTTATGCATCCTCAATGGTTTTGTTTTGATACAAGATGCTTGATGAACTTCTGAACATGATACTTCTGTTTTTAAATTATAAAAAATTAAATCTGGTTTGTCTGCCATGGTAGCTTGTAATATTATTTGTGCCAACCAGCGGGGTTAGTAACGCTGGTCATGTCTACTTGACATGATCTTTGATTTGGGCCAGCCAGGGGGGTTAATAGGTCTGGCCATGTCGATGTGTCTGTTATGATATGCTAGCTAGTCTTTGATTTTTGTCTGGTAAGCACCTTATGGGTGCCATGGTATATTATCCTTTTGTGCACCCTTCATGGGTGTCTTAATCATGTTATAGTTTACTACTATTATGGCAGATCCTTATGGATTTTACTATGAGATTCTGATTCATTTTAGATTTTGTATCCCTCCTATAAACATGTTTTAGAATATTCCATGATGTTACATGGAAATTTATATTAATTCTTTGTATCTAATGAGCATGCATAATATAGTCATGGACTTTATTTTCCTATTGAGTTGTGCTCACACCTGCAAACCAATATTTTCAGGTAGTAATCAGAGACAGGATGATTTGGATTTCTATATAGTTTAAGTTTAATTATGTTGAGTTTGACCATGGAATATGAGTATGTTTAAGTTTAATATGGATATATGAGATATTTTTAAGAGTTGTTAATAGCTTAGAGACCTTTGTGGTTTGGGTAGTTGAAGGTTTTAGTTATTTAGTGGTATGTGAATCAGTTGAAAGGTTTGAGTAGTTGGAGACTCTTGTGGTTTGAGTAGTGAATATGCAATATGATTATTTTGATGAGGTTTTGAGCCTTGTACGCTCTTGGTTTTGGGGTGTGACATGTGTGGTCATGCCTGGTGATAATTTATTTTTCAGTTGTTACTTGGAGGTTTTTTTTTTTTTTTTCCTTGAGCAGAAAGGGGAAGTGGATACCAGATTTTGGAGTTCCCAGAGATGAGAATCCTTATCACTCTGATAGGTTGTTCTTTTTTCTACATTTTTTCTTTGCATCCTCTATCCACAGTTTTGTTTTTCATTTTCTTAAAATTTTTGTTAATCACCACTCTAATTTTAGAGACTATTTTTCCTAATTTTCTGCTGGATTAAGGAGAATGAGGGTCCATTTAGGAAAAGTATATGCAAGAGGAGATTTGTGATGATTAAATAAATTATCTCTTTTTTTTTTTCTTTTTGCCTTTTCTTGTAGGTATTTTCCTTTCTTAATATATATTGCTTCCATTGATTTTTTGCTTTAATTTCAGCTAGTGAAAGATCTGTGATTAATATTAATCATCTGTGGTTAGTGGATCTTATGTTTTACTAAGCCTAAATAACGATGCATTACTATGTGTGACAATTTTTCTTTCTTTAAACCATCATGATTAATAGCTTTAAGTATTGTTGTATTGTTTAGGTTTATAATTTCAAAGCATTAATCTAAAATTTTGAAAGAAATTAATGATACACTTTCATTTCAAAATTTTTAAGTATTGGTGTAATATTTAGGGTTATACTGTCAGCAGATCCTTTTGTAAATTTCTAGCCTGTTTATGATTTCTTGCTTATTTTATGCCTTTCTAATCTTTGTGACTGTGTGTCTGTCACTTACATTATGATTTTGTAATTCTTTGGATGGTTTATTTCTTATGCAGTGCTGCAGCTAAACCTAATTAGAAATGAAGTTAATGGGAGTTTTAAGTGGAGCTTGCCGAACTTGTTCTTCTGTACATAATCTACCTCCTGTAGTATTAAAAGCTTAGCTACTTTATGGTACAAATTATGTTTTGCTCTGTCATTTTTTTCTTCTACTTTTGTTTGAGGAGATTCTATTCTTTTTAAGAGAAGGCAAGCAATGCATTTGTGAAACTATGTAAGAAGGTGTTATTCTTGAGTTCTATCTCTCTCTCCTCAAATCAAAAACCCCAAAAAAATCATACTGTTTACTTTGGCTTTCTTGTTTGGCCCTACTAACTCATTTTCTTACAAGGTTCTATGAAATAAACGAATCTTCATAAAGGTAATGTCTGGTTCTTGAATGGAATATGGTGAAGAAAACTTTTGCCAAGCAGCATATTATAACTCTTTCGCTGGGGATATTCTTAGGCTATATTCCCTTTATTGTTTTCTTCCTTTCATGGTATTTTTATCCAGCTTTTCTTTGTAGACTTTGAATTTTTTCCCTCTTTTTTAATATGAAAATGATCTAACAACTGTTGCTTAAATTGAATAATTTGTGTTTTCTATTTGCCAATCATGAGAACCTGTACTTTGTTAAGTATCTTGTTCATAATATCAGCAGATATTTTCTAAATTTCTTGCCTTATGCTTTTTCCCTCTGTTTTTTTTCTTTTGCCTGTCTGGGCAGCATGTCTATCACTTTCATATCACTATTTTTAGTTTCCCTGGTTATGTCCTTATGCAATGTTGCTGCTAAATCTAATTAGAAACAAAGTTGATGGAAGTTCTTATGTTGACCTTGTAGAACATGTTTTTTTGGGTATAATCTACCTCCTTTGTATTAGAAGCTTCACCTTAATACTTCTTGGTACAGTTTATGTTCTGTATTCTATTTTCCCTTTTGCTTGGTGATATAAAATTTTTTAGAAAGCAACCAAAGCATCCAACTGTTGCTTAGGTTTTCTCCCTGAAAGTAGAGATGCTTCTTATGTTTTAACCGTCTATGGTAAGTATCTGGATCTTTTACTTTTCTTATACCATTGTGGTTGTGTGATATTCTATTGGTGCTTCAGTTGTAAATTTGGTTCTTCTTAATCTTCTCTCATTTGGAGTAATTTTTTTTTTTCTGTTTATGCCAATTTTATATGATGTCTTTGTTTTAACTATATTTACATTTACTGAAAATTACTAAGAAATGACTTTTGATGTGTCATGATATTGATTTTCACGAGTTAAAGTTTTGGTGTTATACCAGGCATGGGATGGGCACAAAGAGCTCTTCTGAGATATTTAGTTGTTTACTTGACATGACTTTTGATTTTTTCATCTCTTTTTAACCTCAGAATGGTTTAAAAACTATTGCTTGGATTGAAAACTCTGTGTTATGTTTGCCCGAGATATGTGACTTTTTTCTTTTAAGTTAGCCTGTTTACGATTTTTCACTTATTTTGTGCATTTCTAATCTGTGTGACTTTGTGTATACAAATTT